GTGTGTGTGTGTGTGTGTGTGTGTGTTTGTATCTCTGGGAGTGTATATGAGTATACGTATATGGCGAGGGCGGAGATGGAAAGCGGACGTGGCGAAATAAGGGGAAATTTTAATGACCATTTCTGAGGAATGTGGTTTACGTCACCATTCAGATCATGCCATAAGATTAGGCATTTCTGGAACTTATTTCCCCCAACCCCAACCCTACCCCACCCACCTTGCCCGATTGCCCCCATCCCTGCCTCCTTTTCGCTTGTTTCTGGACCAGATGACCGTGAGATATAATAACTGAGTATACAGGGAAAACAGATAATAATACACCGAAAGTGCAGTCGTACCTGTTCTACAGGCCACCTGTTTAAGACAGCCACCTGTACAAAATGGCCATTTCCACTCCCACCCCCCACCCCGCCCCTGCTTTTTTTTTTCATTATCTACAGTGAGATTGTATAAGACATCAACGTGACGTCTAAGACAACGAACTGGACAAAACGACCACTTTCCGTCCTCCTACCCCCTTCTTGCATTTTATTTGTTAAATTATAATGACACTATCTAAAACATCCACCTGTTTAAGACGATCACTTTTCTCCACGACACTGGGAGGCTGTCTTTGACAACTTTGACTGTATTTCAAAATAAGAAAACACGGCAGCATACACAAACCTCTCATTCAATACGTCCCAGGTTCGAATCCAGATAACGACGGAAAATTGTTTTCTCTAAAATTTTCTCCTTTTACCTCCTTTCATGCTCTCTTAACAATGTTTTGTAGTCTGCTTTCGTCTCCATTTTCTGCCCCCACCCCCTCACCTCCTGTGCCCCCTCCTCTGGGCTCCTGATTCTTTCTGTAACCTTTCTTACGATCAAACACCTACTATTTAGCCTTCTCGGATAAAGGTGAAAAATCTCGAAGATTTAATGTGCAAGTTGCGCAAGTTAAAGATCCCTTGGTGGTCCAAAATCGATAAGAGTAGACATCGGCCGCCACCCAGGCAAAATTAAAAATGTCCTACCTACTGATTCATATTTAATGTGTTCCGCGTGCTCCTATGACCTTATGCAGTTGCGAGCGCCGTAAAACACTTACTAAAAATGTTTTGGATGGAGCAAAGAGAAGAGATAAAGAAAATAACAGCCATTTTGTGCTTTGAGAAAAGTAAGACTTACAAGCGGAAATTAAACAGGGAAAGAAAATAAGTAGG